ACTGAAGTTCAGGTGCAGCTCTACAAAGTTTGGACTTATCCAGTTGCGTCTGGTTTGGGTCTGGCTGCTGTGCTCAATCCTTCCCGCTGTTGCCCTAAAGCGTGAACCTGTTGTGCCCCTGTGGTGAGATGTTCTGCTCCTGGACTAGCTGGTTGGATCTATCCTCTACACTCTCCTCTGCAGGGATTGCAGCTGCAGGATTACACCTCAGGCATGTATGCCAGGCCTTAGCTGTGCCTGGAGGGGACAAGGTGAAGTAGGAGGAAGAGGAAGCTCTCTGCACACAGTCACGGGACCTGGGCTAGAATTGGGTCTGGGGGCTCTGGGACAGTGCAAAAATTCCTACTCTGCGGGAGGGGTGGGGGAGGCACTGCGGAGTGGTGGGGGGTGGCCCAAGGGGCTGGGAGAGTGTCCGGCCCACGCTGCGCCTGGCCTGGGACTGGTCCCGCCACCGCAGGTTAGCAGGAAGCTCTCCACACACTCACCGGACCTGGGCTAGGGCTTCTTCTTCTTCTTCTTCTTCTTTCTTCTTCTTCTCCTTCTCCTTCTCCTCCTCCTTCTTCTCCTCTTTCTCCTTCTCCTCCTCCTCCTCCTCTCCTCCTCCTTCTCTCCCTCCTCCCCTCCTCCTCCTCCTCTTCCTCCTCCTTTTCTTCTCCACCTCCTCTCCCTCCCCCTCCCCTTCCCGTCTCCTCATTCTGCTCCTTCTTTTGGTGCTGGAGACCAAATTCAGGAAACTGTACTTGTCAACCAGGCAATTATGCTACCAAGCTATTTCCCTGGACCTTCAAGATCTTCTTGAAAAATATGATCCTCATGTTGTTTTGCTTTAACATATTGTAACTTTATCAAGACATCCATGTATTTTCATTGCAATTCAGAATGAGGTAATGTCTTACTTTTTCTGCTGTTCCACATTTTAAGGCAGGTTTTGTTTTACAGGTAAACTTCATTGTAAAGCATTGATTTGTTTTTCTTTATATCCATTCTGAACACAGCTTTGGAAATCTTTTTCCTTTTGTTCAGTCCATAATGCCAGAATTTCTGCTATTTCTGATTATTGAGGACTTTAGAATTAAGTTTTTCATCTATGATATTAATACATACCTCTTCCTTAGAATATGTTGGTTAGTCAATCAAATGGCTTTCTGTGCCTTTTTTGTATTGCTGTTCTTTCTCCTCCAGTTGAAAAAAATATTTTAATATTTTAAATGTTTGACAGAAATTTTTATTCAGACTTTTTCTTCAGTTCTGCTAACTTTGCAGCATTTTCTACTTCAAGTTTATCTTCCAATGCTTTTAGCTCCTCTTGTTTTATTTTCACTTACAAAAGCCACTTACACATAACATTTGGCTCTTTAGTTCATCCTCCATTTTTTTGTAGTGTAGAGTGAGCCTAACCACAAAAGTAATGTGATTTTCTTGCTTGCATAGCCTCAGTATATCTCATAACAGTATTACTATAAACATTTTGTACTACTATAAAAATTATGAAATATTATGAATTTTTTTATAAAGTAAAGTAACACTACAAATGAGAGATCTTACTACCTTACCACAAGAAGAGGAAAACATAACCTGATATTTTAATAGTATCAAACCAGAATTGCAGGGCCATACCTCTCTTTGTTAATCTTTGTCACCTATAGAAACATGGTGTATCTCTATCCCTGTCTTGTTCTCCCTCTCTGTCTCTATCTCTATTTCTGTGTATCTCTGTCTCTATTTCTCTCTCTGTTTCTCTTTATCACTCTTCTCTTCCTTAGTAGTCAATTTACCATACCCTAAAATAAGAATAGAGAATATTCAAGGTGTCATTTAGAAAAGATCATTTGCCTTTCTAGCCAAAGATATCAGCAAGTTTTACAGTTTTATTTAGGAATTCTATTAGGCCCAGAATTTTAAAAGTGAATAAAATCGTTAAAGATGAATATTTCATAATTTTTGAGGAATGTGTATTCATTCCTCATATATGGATCAAAGGACTTGTGTTAAACTGCAAAGTGAACTGACTGAATCTAATCTGGCCTTTGCCTGCACTGTCATGCTTTATATCTCTAAGTTCAACACAGGATCATTAATAAAAAAAGAAAAACAACATGGGTTATAAAAATGTGATTCTCTGAAATTACATGTACATGGAAGCCCTCCTTGCCAGAGTTTAGAAGTGATTTCCTACTTTGTTCATTTTTTTTCTTTTACATGTGGTTATCAGGGCAGGTTTTTAGGAGGAGTAGGCTGAACCTAGTTTTTGTGTATGGTTTAATGCCTAGTGTTGGAATTTCTGATATGAGTGCTACACATGTTACATGAGGGACAGCCTGAATATACTATAAGGAAGGAAAAGAGGCTTGCTTCTTTCCTTCCACTGTTGTCATTTATGCTTTCTTCTTCCACCATGAATGTTTGACACTCTGCATTGTGCCACCATGCCTTGGAGTCAGCAGATACTAAAATTAAATTATTTATTAAATTAATAAACCATGAGTAAAGTGAATCTTTCACACTTTAACTTTGGACATCAGGTATTTTTGTCTTAGCAATGAGAAAAATAACTAAGACATTATTTTACTTTTCCTTTCCCTCTTTCCATTCTAATCACTTTCCTTTCTTTTATTTTACTTTCCTTTCCTTTTCCTATTGTTCCCTTCCCTTCCTTTTCTTTGTCTTTCCTTCTCTTCCCTTCCATTTCTTTTCTTTCTATTATATTTTCCTTTCCTTTCCTTTCTTTTCCATTCCCTGTGCTTGCTTTTTTTCTTTATATTTTCTTTTGATTTTGTTGTTGTTGTTTTGCATATATACTGAGTCGATCCTGAAGGATTGAGTCGTTTAGACAATGTACTACTGAAGTAAATCCTTAGGCATTTTATTTCTTATTTTGAAACAGTATCTCACTTAATTGTCTAGGCTGGCATTGAATTTCCTATATTCGATGCCTTCCCTCACTAATTGATGAGGTTGCACTTCTGTGTGATCAAAGGTAGACTCATTTTCCGTTTATTGTAGTACAAGAACTTCAGTGATCTTTGTCTTAGTAGAATTAGAGATAAGTTTATATTGAAATTAGTCTTATCAACTGAAAATTCTGAATGAAAATCACAGATAGCCCATTTGTCATCATTTTATTCAGAATGTTTCAGAAAATTTAAAGTAACATTTAAATATTTTGCTTTTCTCACATAAAAAATAAACTTATTAATTCTATTTCTGAGATATGATAATACATGTAGATGCCTACCAATATATACTTGAAGAATTATGAAAATGGAATTGAACATAATTGAATATTTCACCAATAATACAATAAGCAGCAAGTCAAGGCACAAGTATCATAAATCATTAAGGATTGTTTTCCTACTGATTCATTTTCTGTGATCAAATTAATTACAGAAGCCTCACTGATACACCTACTACCTGTAAGTCTCACATAGCTCTATTCTTTCTTTTTCTTTTCTATCTTCACAAATTTTTGATAACAAAGGAGGAAACATTTTATGGCAAGAAAAGTAATGGTCAACACACAGGCCAGTAGGAAGCCAATCACATCCAGAGAGTGGTACTGGTACCAGGTGAGGTTGTGGGCCAGTGGCCGCAGGTGCTTCGCCCCTTTGTGGCGCATGACATACTCAATCCAGAATGCTGCTCGGTCCAGTGGCTTCATTGGCTGATCATGATGAATGGTTGATAACCTCATGACATTTTCTTTATAACTAAAGAAATATTAAGTAGACATCAACTTATACAATGAAAGAATTAGATACCAGATAAGACTCAGTAAAACCCCTTAATGCTTCTATCTAGTGATCTGTACAGCTACCCTGAATATCACAATAAACAATATAACAACCACTGGTGATTTCCCAATGTCTTGTTTTGAAATTCCATGTCAATTTTAACATGTTCTCACTTTTTTCTCCTTAAAATGATGAACTGAGTACACACAAAAAGTGGAAGTAAAGTAAGTTATTAACTTTATTCTTAATTTCAGAGATGATAGTAAATACGACTGTTTGAATATTTCAGCTGAAATGTGCAGAAAATGATCAGAATGTGAAAATCATTTTTATTTTAATGTAAAAATGTAAGTGCCTTGCATCCTAAAGTAACAACAAGAACAACCAAAACTCTATTTTGAGTTTTGAGTTACAGAATAATTACTTATCACTGGACATCATGCCTAACTTGCTGTGTCATAACATATGGTAAGAACGAAAGTCCATGGTAAGGATCATATGTATATATGCATGTCTGAATAAAGAGAGTCACAGGTGGGTAATGACTAGAAACTAGTTCTAAAACTTTAACTTTGGATAAGAGTTTCAAATTAGTAGATTGCCTCAATTCAATCCTGACTTTGATGTTTTCTTATCTTTTTATAAATGTCTCTTGTCCTGCATTTTTTACTGCAGAGATTTGATATATTTTCTGCTCTAATTGCTATGAGCAGTAATATTTTGATTTTTAGAATAGTTTGGTTTAATTTTTATGTAAATAACTCAGTATACATTTTATATTAATGGGTTGATGTTGATCTTGTTAGTACTGTATCTAGATTATGAGGATTGGTCACCATTTTATACTGAGGAATTGTAGTTGCATTTATTACTGATGTCAAGGTGATCATGTTACAGGAAAGAGGGTACAATTGGGAGCAGTCTTACCAAGTCTAACCCACAATTTTCTGTACTGTGACATAGCAGCAGTAGCAAAGGAGGTAACTTCATTTATTTTTGTAACAATAAGGTGTTTGCGTTTTTAAAAGTGGGTCAAATCTTGACATATTATGAGAATACAATAAGAAAATATGAAGCTATAGAATATTTTCAATGATCAAGTGCAATGATATGAAATTATTGACTGAAAATACTGTAGAAGGATTAAATATAAAGGGAATTTATGTTTTTTGTCTATAGAAAAATTTGAGAAAGGTTTAAGTAAATAAGTATATGAGAAAATGAATATATTAACTTATTATACTATGTTTTTATTTTGAGATAACCTATATTCTGTGGATTCCTGTTGCATATCTTAAATACACACAATATTTTAAAGGCAATATCAGTATGGTGATGGAAAGTAATATCTCGGGGGAAAATTAGTATGGTTATATTTATGTTTCTCTGTTTTTGTTTTGTTTTGTTTTGTTTTTGTGGTACTGGGGTTTGAATTCTGGACCATGTGCTTCCCAGGCAAGAGCTTATTCTATTGATCTATCTACCAGCCGTATGTTTTTCTGTTTTATTGCTTTTCTAGTGCTTCCCTGCATTCCTAATGTAACTATCTTTATTCATTTCATTCCAGTTATTGGTTCTATGCTTAAATCTATGAAAAAATTTCACATAAAATCACAAAACATTTTATGATAAGGGTCACAGTTAGAATTGAGTATTTTTTTCAGAAATTAAGCAAATTTCTGCATATGAATATATTCTAATTTATATTCATTGTGACACTTTGTGCTATATTCAGTATTTACATGATATTCTATGTAATAATCCTGTACTACTCACGAAGGATTGTTAATGACGGCATTCAGTGCATTGACCAAATCTGTAGTTGACATTGTTAGGAAATCCAATACAACAGCTGTTCCTTTGGCTTTCATATGAGCTATGTTATCATGTTGTTCCCCGAACAAAGGTATCCCAACCATGGGGACACCATGGTTGATGGCATCATACAAGCCATTGGCTCCTCCATGAGTTACAAAAGCTTTGGTTTTAGGATGACCTGGAAGAATTAGGAGATTTTAAGCCACATTATTATTGGTAAATATCAGACAAAAATGAGAAATACATAACAAAAAGTAATAAAATGAAGTTGTACATAGGTAAAAATATTCAAGCCTATTAATTTTACTAAGTTGCTTTTCTATCTCAAAACAGACAGCACCTAAAGGTGCATTACTTGTATGTGAATATTGGATGGCAGAGATATTGTGTGTCTTGAGAGCTGAGCAATGAACATGTGATTGCTACCTGAATAAGTAGAGGGCTTAATAGATAAAATAAACCAAGTTACAAAGAAAAATCATGTGCCTGTAAGAACTTGTCTTCTTAAAAATAGTTATTCCACTAACTTTAATGTAAAGATTACTGAAAGCACTATGGAAGACAGTAAAATCAGAAACAAAGTGTTATTACTTTATAACAAGCTGTGACATGTTCTTCCATAGAAAAAAGAGTCATTCAAAATTAAATGAGGGACTGATAAAGTCAGTAGATCCTTTGTCAGTGTTAGCCATATGGATGAGTCTTGGCCATTACTTGGCCAATGTGCTCTCTGTGAAAGCCTGAGAGAATGTTTTCTCCCCATGTGACTTTCGTTAGGAACACTCTACATCATCAATCACTTTCCTCTTTGGCCCCATAATCTCCTTGATCAGAAAATCTGGGACACTACTGAGTTATATGACATTATTGCATAGATCTTGCTTTATCTTGGTCTTAACCGTCCAGCAGAAAAGTATAAAAATGAGGTATAAGAAGTAAAGCCATGCTGTTATGTTGAGCTATAGGGCACTCAGGTCAACAATTTCTGACATTGCCAGTCAAGTGGAAGACCCTATACTATTATGGACTACTGGACTCTTTTAGAATATTTTGCTGAGTTAACACACCTATAATATTAAAATAATGGAACTAAACAAAAAAAGGGGGATAGAGAAGAATGTCTATTTTGTATCTGTGTATTCAAAGTTGTTAGGATAGATATATAGTTACATTCTCTTAATGAATAGAGGGATTTGTTTTAATAGTGTTCATAAATAGGATATCATTTCCGCATCTTGTACAGCAATTAACCACTAGGAAGAATATATGCAATGTGTTAATTATTGAAACTGTCCTACCAGTTTGGTTTGAAACTGTCTCATTGCTATTTGTTTTTCAATAAAATTATGGGAAAAAATAAATTAAAAAAAGAAAAGGAAATCCTAACTACATTGGCAGATAGGTCCTATTATCATTGGTATGTACATCTACCAATTTTTCCAAGATAAATGCAAAATCATAAGGTACTACAAATATGTACTATTAAAATTTTAAAAAATTAAACAAAAAAATAAACAAGGGGGATAATTCTGAGTGGTATTAGAATACTTAGAATACTCTTATAGAAAGGAAAGCACTATATATTATAGAATACTCTTATAGAAAGGAAAGCACAATATATTAGAAGCTGACTACTGCTTGTAATATATTGAAGCAGTAGTCAGCAAAATAATCAGTTAGTTACTGAGTTGTACTCAGTGAGAAGAGACTACATTTAAGCATAAATGTTTCTGACCATGAAAAATGCCGTGTGTGTGTGTGTGTGTGTGTGTGTGTGTGTGTGTGTGTTACCAGGGATTGAACTCAGACCCTTGTGCTTGCTAGGGAAGCACTTATTCTACTGAGCCATCTATCCAGCTGTCTCTGTTTAATGAAATGAATTCTGTCATATTTAGTTTTTCACTAGAAAAAAGAGAAAAGAAGATTGGATGAATTCTTTGAATATGTTAATAGTAAATCCTTATTCTGTTGGTTTTAATTTTTATTTGAACTGTCATCAAGTGAATGAACTGTTATAGGGTTTTCAGTATTTGTTCTCTAAAATCTTACCAAGAAGATCATTTTGAGGAATCCACTCATACAGTTCAATATTGGGTGCTACGTTATCTGGTTTTTTTCCAATGAATTTCCAAATAACCTATTAGATGGAGAAAATGTTTCATTTGCCTTGTAAAACTTGAACTGACTCTATATATATATATTAAGTAGTTCAGCTATAGCAAATTTAAAATTTTTCCATTTATTAAAGGCAGAAAGGTGATCAAGAAGATGTAAGTAATGTGAAAAACACAAACATAATGAACATGCTTCCTCTATGTAATTTTATATTTCATCTTAAATGCAATCACGATTTTTAATAAAATGAGAAACTCATTAGATGATGAATGATAAATTCATGTTTTAAGAAATTGCAACGTACTCATCATTCAATCATATCAGATAAAAAGATATTTAAAGGTAAATCCCTTATATATAACATGCAGCTTCTAAATTTAAAACTACATTTCGATTTCAAGCTATTAGACATAAAATACTTATTCTACAGACATTTTATTGCAAATTGACCTGTCTTCATTTACAATCAATAGTCTTATTAGCTCTTTAAATATTTTTTTGTTTATTTATTTATGTATTTGGTACAGGGTCTTGCTACGCAGCTGAGCTTTGTAGCATTTCACCTGTCTCTGCCTCCCGAGTGCTAGGATTATAGGAGTGAGCCATCACACCAGGTTTCTGTGGCCAGCACATGCCAGGGTTCTGGACCCGGAAAAGCATCAGGTATTGGGGATCTGACCCCGGTCTTGGGCTTGCGAGGCAGGCGCTTAGACCTCAGAGTTATGTACTCAGCCCCTTAATCAGCTCTTGGAAAGGAATCAATAAAAGTCTAAGAAAGCTAATTACACAAACTTGCCTTAATTACAAAAAAGAAAGCATTTCTCCCGGAAAATTTTATTTCATTTTCAACATAAATTTATCATGTCATCAATAGTGCTAGGCCGTAGAGTTCTGTATGGCTGTTAAAAATAGGTGGAAAGGGCCGGGGAGATAGCCCGGCAGTCTGAACAACAGCTTGGCAAAGCTCAAGGACTGCCTTGATACCTGGTACCGCTGTGCTGGCCCCCACACTGAGCGGGACACTGTAACTGGTCATGGTGGCACGCATGTGATAATCACCGTGCTGTTCAGGCTAAGGCATGGAGGACTGCTAGGAGTCTGAGCTCCATAAGGAGATGTTGTATCAAATAAATAAATAAACTCACTCTAAAAAATTAGATAGAAAATTGGAGGCCCTATAATTCTTTCAAATCGTTCTTTTTCCAAAAATTAACCATGATACTCATAGACTACAGAGAAAATATGTCCCAGAAAAATTCTTTTCATGTTGAGTTACAGAACAGTGTAATGTTTGAAAATTACTGAGGCATACACATGTATTAAAGCACAATTTACATATGCTTTTTAAAACTGAGAATATGAGAAGTAACTTGTAACTGTTGCCTTAACAAGTAGCATAATGATGCCAATAATCATGTAATGGACAAAATATAGAAAAGTAGTCCATAAATATATAACAATTAAATTTGTATTCTGTATAACAGAAAACTAATACAAACTATATTGTCTGGGAAGGTAGGGAACCTCTTTCATTTTCAAACTCGATTTTACTTAAACTTTTCTTACTTTTCCTATTTTCAATTACCTGCATGTTTCAATCTATTTTAAAAGAAGCAGTGTACTTGGAGGACATATGTTATTATTGTGTTTACCAGAAGAGCATACTGAATAGCTAATTCCAAAATTATAATAAATTATAAGGCAAAGATTCCTTGTGACTCATACAAGGCATCATGAAACCCAGTCTTTTTTCAATACCTGCATACTGCTTTATGCTAGGAAGGATTATAACTCAGATTTTACCTCTTTCTGAAACACTTTTAGGTTGCTCTGGGCCCTTAGGAGTTCCACAAGAAAATGTGACAGCATAGGTTTTGCCTTTTTTTTTCTCCTTTTCTTTTCTTATCTTTATATATGTATATATATTTTTTCATATATATATATATATATATATATATATATATATATATCAGAGTCTACAGGTTCTCACTACACAGATCAGACTCCTAGTGATCCTCCTGTTTTTAGCCTCCCAAGGGCTGATATTACACTCTCATGCCACCACACCCAGGCTCAGTTGCCATATCATCCTGCTCTGGAGGCAGAAGCCTGCAGGGGCACTCCGTGGATCAAATCTCAGTAACTGCGCCTGCTTAAGCAGGTGTTTTAGTCCACTGAGCTATCTGGCCAGCCAGGTTTTGCCATTTCTGAATGTCTAAAAATAATATTGTGGTGAAAACCTTCACCCATTGAAACTGTTGAATACATTTCTTTCTAATTTCTATGGAAGGATCAAAATAATTATCAACCAAACTCTCACTCTTTTGTTAGTATTGTCATTTCTATAGTTTGATTCTGAACTGGGTAAGATATATTAGAGCTACAAAACTAATTATCACTTGGGAATTTCTGCCATTTGACACAATATAGAATTAAACAAATTAAATGGACACTGCTCTAGAATGGTGGCACATTTTCTAACCTTTTGTGGAAACTGAGCAAGAGCTGAAGCAATCACATTGGCCCTGTCTTCTGTCATGTTGTTGACCATAGAGCCCAGAGAAAACACCACAATACCATGCTCTCCAGAGCTCTGCACAAAGTCTTCCATTTCCTGTGAAGAAAGAATGTTGCACATCACAAGAATAGTATGGCAAATGCCTTTGAAAGATTATATAAAGGGTGAGACAGGGTACATCTTGTCAGTTATCATTGGAGCAGTTGGAGAGGTTAAGTGCACAAAATGCAATGGTTGCCACCTTAACCTTTTCCAATTGTTCTAATTCTCAGTATTTTGCAAAATATATCTAAAATGTAAGGATGGGAAAGTTAGCTTAGCCGACTAAGCACATGCTTAGGCAAACACACGGACTAAGGTTCGTTCCCTGGCACCACGTGCTGCACTGGCCGCACTCCCTGGCTCACAGAGCCAGGGACAAAGTAGAGGCATAGTGGCACATGCCTGTAATCACAGTGCTGAGGAGGCCACATACAGGAGGATCATTATGAGTTTGAGCTGCATAGTGAGACCCTGCAGAAAAATAAAATAAAATAATAACATAAAATGAAATAATGTACTCTGTTTCAAACTAAAATTTTACAGGCAATTTATTTTCTATACTTTTAAGTCATTGTATTCAATTTCTGTTTCTTTGTTATCCTCTAGGAATTGTTTGATCATTCCATTTATATGCTTTTGGTCTTCATTTCTAACCCAATTTTTACATGCATATTTTGGTGTGAGCAAATAATCTTTAGCTTGACATGTAGTTTACTATGTGTGTTTGACTTCATTGCAAATTTCTATTCATGGTGGCATAGTGAAATTTGATTTTTTTGTGTGAATAATTTAGTTTAGATTTATTTTTAGATTTCATAAATTATTCAAAACTTTTATATTTTAATGAAGTGATGTATTTTGTGTACATATTTCATAATGAAAAAGTCATATTTTTATTGAAAAGGCAGTATTTTGTAAGCAGACAGACTTTATAATGCTTGATTTGGACAAAAGTGCATGGTTTATGATCCACTGGGATCAGGACTAAGCAATGCCACTAGAATGTCAATTATTTCTTTATTCTTCTTATCCTATGTTTTTTCCACTTTAATTAACCCTCTTTTTTAGACATTAGGAATTCTTTCTTATGTAAGTGCATCCTCCACTGAACTTTAAATAATATTTCCTCAGTTTTAGGATTCACCAAAATATCCCTAAAGAATCTAAGCAATTTGAATTCAAAATGTATATTAGACCTTATTCGTTTAAACAATTGAAAAAGTTTGGGTGCTACTAAGAATAGAGAAAAAAGAAAACTTCTGCAAGTGACTTGTAATAAAGAGTAAGCAATTATTTTCTATGAAAATATGCCTTAAATATTAGATGCTAATTTTAAATTCATTTTTTCTATTCTTCCTCAAGAAGTTATACTACCCTACATGTAGACTGATTTCCATTATAATTCAACTCTCAAGGTTGTTCTCAGACATGAGTGGTCTGGGCTCCAGAGAATCTTTCATGCAATGTCCAATAAGGTTGAGTGAACCACAAAACATCTGCACCAGTAGAGGAACTCATGCCTCTGTACTCTGAAGTATAAAAGAGAACTTTCTTGTGAGTAATAATAAATGGTGGGATGAAAGCAAGGAAAGACTGCGTTTGCTTGCAGTGTTACTGTTAAACCTTTACTGTTAGAAATGATCTTTATTCAAATGCACACAACTTTAAAAAAACTTGAGCACTTACAGTAAAATTTTAACATTTCATCGCTCTTTAAATATTTTTAATTATTTATTTATTTGGTACACGGTCTAGCTACAAAGATCGGACGTGTAGTTATTCTCCTGTCTCAGCCTCCAAAGTGCAGTTATTCCAGATATACTCCATTATGTCTGGTCTCTCTGACTGGCATGACAGGCCCAGGTTCTGGGGTCAGCATGGAATGCTGTACTGGGAACTGACCCAGGTCCTAGCACTTGCCAGGCTAGGTGCTTAATACTCCTAGCTATCTCCCTAGCCCAGAAAAACCTTAATAGCTGAATTCATGAATTATCTACTTTGTTTCTAATAGTCTAAAACTTTCAGTGCGTGGTATTTAAGCAGAATAATGTGTTTTGCTTGTGTTAGTTTTATATTCATTTACATTTAGGAAGACTACAGGATTTCTGCTCTCTATGATTTTGCTAGAGAATAAAATTTCATGCTGGATTTCAGTTCCTATTGGATGAGAATACATGACACATCTGCACATATTAGATAATTAGTATAATTAATGACAACATAATTAGTAACAACATCAATAATGATATAGATCTGACTTACATCATTAATAAAGTTCCAAAACACTTTAAGAGTTTCTTGTATTTTTACTATGTTTCCCCTAATTCATTGCATGCTTGCTGGCCTTCTTATATGGGTAAGTAATTGTCATCTGTTTGGAAATCTTAGTCTATGTGCTATTATCTTTTGCTGAAAGTCTTATAACTTCCTAAATATCCCCACTCCGTAGTCTTTCCCCTCCACATTTGAAAACAGTAATTGAATAGAGAAAAAAATCTATTGCATTTTGTATTATGCAATTCTAATTTCAAGTTTCTTGACCTGGATTGTTGTTTAACTATCTAATACCTATTTTAGATACATTTTACTCTTTGGATTATCTAGTAAAATTCTTTGTACACATAATCAGCATTTTCATCCAGTTTGACAATCTTATTGAAATATCAATTGTTGTGATAATAGAGGAACATTAGTTTCTCCTGACAGTATACTTTTTGCTATTTCTCAAACATCTCATTTTTAACAAAAAACTGAATAATGCACAGTCATTGTCTTCAAAATGAAAAGCCAAACATTAAACCAAGCCAAACCAAACCAGATATTCTTACCTTAGGCAAAGGTTTGGCAGGTTTGCAGTGAAGACCACCAACAAAGTCCATGTTTGGCATGATTGGGCGAGGAAATTCCAAATCCCAGTAGGATCGAATGAGCCACATTTCTGCTTTTGCCATAGTCTGACGTAAAGTTGTGGGTTTACCTAAATTAAGAAAGAAACCATGTAAAAGAAAACGAAATGAGTGAAAGAGAGAAAGAGAGAGATAAAGAGCGACAAGGAAAGATAAAAAACAAGGAAGAAAGAGAGAAAAAAAAAGTAAACCAGAAAGTAAGAAGTGCATTATAAAGAGCCAGTTGTCAAATTAATATGTTCTATATTTTGAAAGTCATTGAACTGTTTCGATCAATGTTGGAAAAAATGATGTGCAATCATCTCTGCATTGAATGTTCAAATGTATGAATTTATAGAAAATGTAAAGCATATATACATCTGTTTATAATGTATGTTAAGTTCATGCGTGTGTGTGAAGTATACACGGCTAATTTACATTTTTGACTTGTCCTCTATCTATTCCTAACATCAGTCATTGGTAACATGAATCATACTCTGGACTCAGCACTTTCCAGGCAGGTGCTTGTACAACTTAGCTATATCCCTGGACCTAAGTAGTAGTTTAAAACACAGGAGACCCAGTCCTATGCCAGGTCCAGTGAGTGTGTGGAGAGCTTCCTGCTACACTGGGCCGGCGGGACCAGTCCCAGGCCAGGCGCAGCATGGGCTGGACCCTCTCCCACACCCTCGGGCCGCCCCCCACCACTCTGCCGTACCTTCCCAATTCCTCCCGTCGAGTAGGAATTTCTGCCGACTTCCGGGAACCCCCAGACCCAGTCCTAGCCCAGGTTTGGTGAGTGTGTGGAGAGCTTCCTGCAACCCTGCACCAGCGGGACCAGTCCCAGCCCAGGTGCAGTGTGGGTCAGACCCTCTCCCACCCCCTCAGGCACCCCCCACCACTCCGCCCTACCTCCCCCACCACTCCCACCGAGTAGGAATTTCTGTCGAGTTCCGGGAACCACCAGACCCTGTCCTAGCCCAGGTGCGCAGCGGAAAAGAGCTGAGCACAGCAGCCAGACCTAAGCCAGACGCAATTGGATGAGTCCAAACTCTGCAGAGCTCCACCAGAACTTAAGAACATGTGAAGGTTATAACTACAGCAGAGATCTACAACAAAGGGCAGAAGACAGTGCTACACAAAATGACGAGAAGGAAACAAATGCAACCTCAGAACCCAAGCCCACCCATAACAAGTGCAGAGGACAATAATACAGAACAAATTGGAAATCACACAACTGAAAGCAATGAATCAACAGCTTCTGAAATAAAACAGCTACAGAAAGATATAGAAGACCTCAGATTGGAAATGAAAAAAGAAATCCCTGAATTAATAACATCTGCACTAAAGAATCAAATACAGAAACATATGA